GGCTTTCGGCATATTGTGCGAGATACTTTGGTGAAAGGCTTTGTAGATCCGGGTGTTGGCATGCGCGGTCATGGGTTGGACATCTCGCCCAGAAGTATTGTCATGTGTGCCCATCTCGTCGACACCAAGCATGTGGTGAATCAGTTGGGTAAACGGGGTATTCGTGTGAAGAGTGTGCTGCAGGCGGCGTACCCCGGCGTGGACCAGGGCAGCAGCTGCAGGCAAGCTCGCGACACTGCTCGCAAGTGTGTGGTCAAGGCAGGAGCTCAACGCGGCTGCGTAGGTTTGCCAGGGCGTCGAGCAGGTACTCCACGACTTGCAGTATTCAGAGAACGGGCCCGCAGGCCGCAGCCGTATACGGCCATCAATTGTACGGCTGCTTCGGGAGCGTGACGGAAAGTCATCGGCGACGCTTGGCGGCTGCTGCCAGCTCAGCCAAGCGGGAGCGATGTGTCACCACGCTTCTCTCACTACGGCTTCATGCAGCAGATCCTGGTCTTGTATTGCCGCGACAGTGCCTAACGCAGCATCTGCAGGTTTGGATTTCGGAGCCGCCCCGTGCGAGCAGGTATCCAGCGTGTGTGTGTGCTGGTATCGTGAGGCACTTGGCCAGCTTACCCGAGGGACACCGATGGCGGCACATCCGAGGCCCGATCTCCGCGGCCATCGCTTACTTACTTCCGGCGGGTTGGAGCCCGAACCCTGCTGCCGAGTGGGACTCTACGAATGACAATAGAGGTGACAGGCACGCGTGGAATTACTCTTCCGCTGCCATCACTGGATCGGATCAAGTGCAGCCGAGCCCCTCTTGGATGAGTTCGAGGCCTCGATCAACCGACGGTTGTGGCGTGAAGTCGTTGCGCTCTACTGCGGAGGAGTTCTGGACGACGGAGTGGACATGGCCAGCTACCGCCAGTTTCTGCATTGTTGCTGGCCACCGCGGTCGGAGGCACAAGGCATCAGGAGTGGAAGTGTAAAGTCGGCATGGTCGATATCAGCGAGTGTTCTCGATGTCGTGACGGTGTGGACTCGGCTCTACATCGCGCGTGGTTGTGGAGTTGCAGCGGCATAGGCAAGGCGATCGAGGACTCCAACTGTTTGGTGCCATGTGCCATCGCAGAGCAACACATGCTTCCTTGCTTCCGGATGCGTGGCATCATACCAGCGGCTTGGACTTCGGCTTCGGCGCCTGTGGAGAGTCCAGCTTGGAGTTCTGGCAATATCTCAGGCGCGCTGGAGGGTCCATTTCTTGGTCATGGAACTTGTGAGGTTCCGCTTGTCACCTTCGGAGATGCGCTGGGCGGGGCAGACACGCACGACCCACGCCTCAGGAGGATCGGCATGGGCATCGCAGTCCTCACGAATTTCCCACCCCACGCACAGTTCGGTTTATGGTGAAGTTCCTCGGCTTGGGATATGCAACAACAGCGGCTTCTTTGCTCAGGATCATCAGCTCCGCGGTCTTGGCAAGCCGTGCGGAGTCCAGCACATGACGAGGGCGCGCCTCGAGTGCCTTGACAGGTTCTCTCGCGACCTTCACCCCAAGGCTGGAGTGGAGTAGTCAGTAGAGTTGTTATCGCACCTGCGATGGCGGTAATCCTGGTAATCCTTCCCCCCCCTCCGCCCGCCCCTCGAGCCCCTCCCCCTCCCCTTCCCCACTCCCGCCCGCCCCTGCCTCCCATCCGGCCCTCCTGCCGGCCTGCGGGGCCCCGCGCGCCTGGCCAGGTGGCTGCTGCCCGAGCGGGCGCCCTCGGGCCCGGCCTCGGTGCGCCCGGCTGGCCCCCGGGGGAGGCCTCCTCTCGATCTCTCCGTCCTCCGTTCTTCTCCTCCTCCTCCTGTTCCTCCTCCTCCTCCTCGACCTCCTCGATCCTCCTCCTCCTCCTCCTCCTCCTCATCATCATCACCATCACCATCATCAGCATCCATCAGTTGAGAAGCACATGCAGAAGCAGGCATGCGAGGACCATCTACTTGGACACCATTCCCAGCCATGCTTTGGCATTCCCCCAGGGCTCGCCGCTCAGATCTGGCCTCACACATGCTTTTCGTCGCCACGGCTGGGTCCGCGCCAGAAGACAAGCCAGGACGGGCCCCGGGAGGGGTCTGGCGACCGACTTCGAACGGATCTTGAGCCAGGCCCCCCATACACTCGATCGCCCACGATAAGACCCGCGCCTTGTAAGGAGCGCCCTCCTTCTAAGAAGCCTCCCCCTTCCCCCGACCCCCCCTTCTGCGCGCCGCCAAGGACACTGATATCGGGGCCACTTCTGGCTCAGGAGGGGCTCCGGATCTCGGGCCGTCCCTCGGGTCCAGGCCGGGGGCGCTGTTCGTGGTCGAAGCTCGCCGTGGGCTGCAAAGTCTTTTTGTTGCTTCTCCTTGAAAGGCCAGATACATACACAGAAGCGTGCAGGGCTGCGCGAACATAAACATCAACTGCATACACATACACATGTTTCTCGAAGCAGCCTAAATATAAACCTTCGGAGTTCCGCGCGGACTTTTTCAATCCGCGCTGCCCCGAGCGCGCGGGGCGCGCCAGGGGAGGCGTCGGAGGCGCCGCCAAGGGGGCCCGGCGCAGATCCGAGAAATCCTCGGTGGCGGCCACAGTGGGTGATGACTAGGGGGGGACATGGCCGGGGCCATGAGATCTCCTGGAGTTCAAGGCCCTTTCTACTTCTTCTTTCCGTGCGCCGCGCACATGCCTCGGGCCATAATTTGCGACCCCCTGCTTTGGACGCCCCCTCTTGAACGCCCCCGAAAGCCGCGCGGAGCTCTGACCTTTTATGTTTATGTCGTTTTCTCCTCCTCGACATTAGTGCTTTATGTGGGGAGGGGGAGGGGGAGGGAGAGGAGGAGTAGGAGGAGGAGGAGGAGGAGGAGGAGGAAGGAGGAGGAGAAGGAGGAGGAGGTCATCAGGGGACCCGGGCCCGAGCGCACGAAGTCATCAGGAGGAGGAGGAGGAGGAGGAGGAGGAGGAGGAGGAGGAGGAGGAGGAGTAAGAAGAGTTGCCACCTCTATCCAGAGTTGGTCTATACGGAAGGGTCTATGCGTGAGTGTTTCGGGGGTAAACGCCTCCTCCCGTGTACACACATACACCCACTGATTAAAAAGTGGTAACTCAGAGGTGTTGGAGTGATCGCTCCAACCCGTTGATCGCAGCAGTACCTGCACCTGCCTGGGGCGAAGACTCTCCTTTGCCATTGCCCCTTCCCGCTTCTTCTTCTGTTTCACAAAGTGCACCCGCTCTAAAGGTAGTAACCTCAGGCACTCCTGCACCTTTTCCTGGTGCCCGCGCCTCTGGCGCGGCTTCAGCTTGATCCACCTTCGGGCCTGCTGATGCCTCTGGTTTCGTTCTTCACCCAGTGGTTTTCTAGCTCTCTGTCCCTTCATTTCGGCTTCGAACGTCTGGCCGCACGACCGACCGACCGACCGAGGAGGAGGAGGAGGAAGAGGAAGAGGAAGAGGAGGAGGAGGAGGAGGAGGAGGAGGAGGAGGAGGAGAATCTGCGCTGCAGGCGACCCCCCCCGCCGCCCGGCAGCGCAGCAAAGGAAGGGCGCGCAGCGCCCGTGGGTGTCCAGCGTTGCCCTGCGCAACCTGCCTTCGGGCAGGCCGCGGGGTTTCGCTCAGCCGTTGGCAGACCATGGGAAGAGGAGTATATCTATATATACATATATAGGCTACATACATCAGCTTCTCCCAGCCTGCCAGAGGGGGCCCGTGAAGGTCGTTTGACCAGAGGCGAACACCTTGCGAACAAACATGATGTTGATGATGGTGATGATGATGATGATGCTGATGCTGATGATGATGATGATGATGATGATGATGATGACACCGATATTGATGATGCTGAGAGTGATGATGATGCTGATGATGATGAGGAGGATGAGGATGCGGATGCTGATGATGATGATGGTGATGATGGTGATGGTGATGGTGATGATGATCATGATCATGAATCATGATGATGATGCTGATGATGATGATTATGAGGATGAGGTGATGGTGATGGTGATTGTGATGGTGATGATGGTGGTGATGATAATGATGCTGATGCTGATGCTGATGCTGATGCTGGTGATGGTGATGATGATGATCATGATGATGATGATGATCATGATGATGATGATGATGATGATGATGATGATGATGATGATGATGATGATGATGATGATGATGATGATGAGAAGGAGGAGGAGGAGGAGGAGGAGCAGCAGGTCATCAGGGGCTATAGGCCCGAAGTGCGAAGACACCAGGAGGAGGAAGAGGAGGAGGAGGAGAAGGAGAACGCTACAGTCTAGTTGCTGAAGTCGGCCTACCGCTTAAAGGAGGAGCAGAAGGAGGAGGCGGAGGAGCAGGCTCATGAGGAGGTTCAGGAGGAGGAGGAGGAGGAGGAGGAGGAGGAGAGGAGAAGGAGGAGGAGGAGGAGGAGAGGAGGGAGGGGAGAGAGAGAGAGGGAGGGAGGGAGGAGGGAGGGGGGGAGGGAGGGATGATGATGGTGCTGCTGCTGATGATGATAAGGAGGAGGAGAGGAGGAGAGGAGAGGAGGAGGAGAAGGAGGAGGAGGAGGAGGAGAGAAGGGAGAACGCTACAGCCTATTTGCTAAAGTCGGCCTACCGCTTAAAGGAGGAGCAGAAGGAGGAGGAGGGGGAGGAGCAGGCTCATGAGGGGTCCGAGGCTCAGGAGGAGGAGGAGGAGGAGGAGGAAGAAGAGGATGAGGAGGAGGAGGGAGAGGAGGAGGAGGAGGAGGAGGAGAAGGAAGAGGGAGGAGGAGGAGGAGGCGGAGGAGGAAGAAGAAGAAGAAGGAGGCGGAGGAGGAAGAAGAAGAAGAAGGAGGGGGAGGATGAAGGAGGAGGCCATGAGGGATCCGAGGCTGGCTCGGCCCCTCTCCGGCGCCCGTGCGCGCGGGGCGGCTGGGCGGCTGGGCGGCGACGCCTCTCCCTCGCCTGCGCGGCTCGAGGTGCGGCCAGCCTGGTGGCGGACGGCCCCGCCGGCGTCGGGTGGGGCGGGGCGGGGTGGCCCTCTGGGCCTCCTCCTCCTCTTCTCCTCCTCTTCTCCTCCTCCTCCTCCTCCTCCTCTTCTCCTCCTTCTCCTCCTCCTCCTCCTGAGCCTCGGACCCCTCATGAGCCTGCTCCTCCTCCTCCTCCTCCTTCTCCTGCTCCTTTAAGCGGTAGGCCGACTTTAGCAACTAGGCTGTAGCGTTCTCCCCTTCCTCATCATCCTCCTCATCATCACCATCATTATCCCCCTTCCTCCTCCTCCTCCTCCTCATCATCATCATCATCATCATCATCATCAGTAGCAACAGCAGCATCATCATCATCATCATCATCATCATCATCATCATCATCATCAGCAGCAGCAGCAGCAGCAGCATAATTCCTCCTCCCTCCTCCCTCCTCCCTCCCTCCCTTCCTCCCTCCCCCCTCCCTCCTCCTCCTCTCTCCTCCTCCCCCTCCTCCTCCTCCTCCTCCTCCTTCCCCCTCATCTTCCTTTTTGCAATAGGCGGACTTTAGCATCTAGGCTGTGGCAGTATCATCCCCCTTCTCCTCCTTCTCATCTTCCTTCACCCGTCCTTTAACTCCTCCCCCTCCCCCTCCTCCTCCATCTCCCCTTGCCCTCCTCTTCTATCCCTCCTCCTTCCTCTTCCGTAGCCATTTTGGCTCAAGATGATTGGTTCCCCTGGGGACCGCACGGATACCGCTAGTCCGCGGCCAGACCACCGCTCGCCTTCACCGTGGGAGTTGGGCACCCACATCCAGTCCAGCCCCGCTCGCGCTGCCACGGCGGCCCGCTTCCCTGGTTCCTCTCACCGAGTGTGCTGCAGCCTGGCGTCGGGGAGATGCCTCCGCCGCACTACCGCTCGGAGCAGGCGCTTCCCTGGTACTGCAAGAGCTGCTGCGGGCCCTCGGGGAGACCGTGGTGGAATCATGCAGAGGCTCGGCAGTGTGCGAAGTGCAAGCTCGGCAAGGGACTGGTCTTCCAAGGTGTGCGCCAGCCTTCTGCCCCCTCCCAGCGGAGGAAGGGTCACCTGGGCGGCGGTGGCAACAGCTACTGGGATGACTCCGTCAGGGTGGCCCAGCTCAAGTCCGAGCTCGCGGAGGCTCGCAAGCGGCTGGCAGCTGTGCAGAGGCCGCCGCCTGGCGGGGAGGACGTGCAGATGGAGCCGGCCGCGGACGGGGACGGCCCCGAGTCCGTCGCCAAGGACAGGCTGCGCGAGGTCGGCGACCTCATCGGCAAGCTCAAGGGCATCTCGGAGCCGTCGGTCGTGGCCACGCGCGACAAGCTGCTGGCGGAGCAGGCTGAGCTGCGAGCCAAGGTGGCGGAGTCTCGACCGCTCGGGCAACGCCTGCGCGAGATGGGGGCTCAGTTCACCAGGCTGCAGAAGCTGCGTGACGACCAGCAGACCAAGCTTGAAGGACTGCAGGCGCAGATGCGCGACTTGCAGGAGAAGGAGCGGATCACTCGTGACAAGCTGGCGGCTATCGACGCCAGCATGGAGGAGCTGGACCAGGAGCGCAAGAAGCTTCAAGGGCAGGTTCCGACGCCAGGTGACAAGGCATCGCTCGACGAGCCGATCAAGGGGGTCGGCGCCACGCTCGAAGGCCTTGGGATTTTGCTCCAGAGCCTGGGCGCCGATCACCAGCTGTCGGGCAGCCTCACGGCGAGTTTTCAGGAGTTGCAGAGGTTGCAGGAGGAGGAGGCTGCGAAGCTGGCAGCCCAGAAGGCGCAGGCCGCCGCTGGGGCCGAGGCTAGTGCCAATGTCGAGCAGGCCGAGCAGCAGGACAACGCAGCAGCGCCACGCACACCACAGCCAACTGCCTTCTCCGAGGACCCCGTGTTCATGGAGGAGGTCGTCGCTGCTGGTGGCGAGAAGCACAGGCTGGAGGAGATCTTCTTGCGTTGGGGCGCCAAGGTCAAGAAGCCCAGGCTCACCCCCGTCGTGCCTGGCTCCACGGCGCTGTCTGGTGTGTTTTGTGTGGTTTGTCCTCCTGTGTCGCACCATGGCTTCGGTATCAAGTATTACCACCGTGAACGTGTCCTCGGGCGGCCCGCTCGTCGACTTCCTGCCCACGTGCTCAAGTTTGTGCATCGCTGTGCAGGAACATCATGCAAAGGCTGAGGGCGAGGCCTTGGCGAGGTTGCAGAATGAGGTAAGAGCTGCTGGGTACCATGGTATTTGGGAGCCTGCTTTGCCTGGGCAGGGAGCTGGCAGCAGAGGCGGGGTTGCGGTGTTGGCCCCGTTGCGGGTGGTCATCACCAAACCCCCAGGCCTGGACAGTCACGTGCTTCAGGAGGGCAGGATGATGGCGGCCCATGTCCACGCTGGGGTGAAGGGCGGCTTCGTCATGCTGTCGTGCTATTTCATCGTTGACGTGAAGCTGTCGCCTGAGAATCTGGCCATGCTGTACAAGCTGTACCAGTACGTTAGGTCGCTGGAGGCCATGGGCGCCCCGTGGATTGTCGGAGGTGACTTCAACATGGAGGTAGGCGAGCTAGGCCCTTTGTCCTGGCTCCAGTCGGCCAATGGCGTAGCGATGGCGCCGAGGGAGCCAACGTGTCTTCAGAGCCTTCCTGGCCGCACCATTGACATGTTCATGGTTTCCTGCCGCTTGCTACCTCGCGTTCGGCAACCAGTGGTGGTTGACGCGGAGACGTGGCCGCATCTGCCCGTGACCATGGAGCTCTCCGCCACGGCTTTCGACGCGAAGGTCAGGAGGCTAGTCGAGCCTCGCGGCTTTCGTCGGCCGCCTGCGGCGGGGTGCGCGAGGCCCCCCCCCCGACTGGGACCCGATCTTGGTGGTCATCCAGAGCGCGTCTGACAGCGAGGGCATCACCAGGGCCTGGGACGTCGTGCTCAGCGGCATCGAGTTCGAGCTGCGGGGCCGCTACGACCTTGTGAATGAGGCGGCGGAGTACTCCACGGTGCCAGGTCCCCCGACCTTCGAGCTGGCGAGCTTTCACCCTGTTGTGAAAGGAGCCTGGAGCAGGAGGTCTGCAGCCACCCAGGCCTGGGCGCAGGCTGCGCGCTGGGCTCGTCACCTCAGGCGGGTTCGAGTGGCATTGCAGAGTTTCGTGCTCCAGCTTGGCCCGCAGCATGTCTTCGAGCTCGGCAGCGTCGGCGAGGTGCACGCCGACGGAGTGCCTGGCCTGGGCGATGGTGCACCCCCTGCAGCGGAGGTCGTCGGAGTGGCTGGTCTCTCCTCCGATGGTGGTTGGCCTCGGTCGAGAGCGCAGCGACGCCAGCCCCTGCGTCGTGCAGGCGAGGACCTATCGTGGGACGCCGTACACTCCAAGGCGGCGCGCCACCTGCTGGAGTGCGAGAATTTCTTCCAGAGAATTTGGCGGAGGAAGGGAGTCTGGCCGCACCTGGACGCCGAGGCCGTCGGCTTCTTCTCGCGTGGCATGCTTGCCTTAGCGCAGGCAGACTTCGAGCAGCAGGTCGACCGCATCCTGAGTATTTCATCCGAGGCAGAGGCCAAGCATGAGAAGGCCGCGTTGCAGAGCTGGAGACAGTGGGCGCAGGCAGCTTTTTGTGTCTGGCGCTAAGGGAGCTCACCGTTTCCTGAAGCCCAAGGCCCTCCAGGAGATCGTGGACGGAGGCAATGGGCTGCAACACGGGTACGTATTGGCCGATCGTAAGCTGGAATATTGGGAAAGCTTCTGGGTGCGGCATGGCGGTGAGCTGGTTCGCCGACCTGCTGATGCTGACACTTGGGAGCAGCTACCAAGGCTTGAGGCGGCTGACGTGCTCAAGGCCATTCGTTGTTTTTCTTGGCAGACAGGCGTCGGGCAGATCAACATCGCGCCCAGGGCCATGGAGCACCTCTCCCACGGGGCGCTGACGGCCATGGCGCGCCTCTTCGAGCAGTGTGAGCACCTGCTATTGTGGCCAGACGGCAGATTCATTTCGAAGCTCGTGAGGCTCCCCAAGCCAGGGGGTGGGGAGCGTCTGATTGTGCTGATGAACACGCTGGTCAGGATCTGGGGACGGGCGAGGCGGCCTGTCTCGGCAGCGTGGGAGAAGGCCCATGCGCTCCCAGAGGTCTGGGGCCACACTGGAGGCAAGTCGTCGAGTGATGCCGCCTTTGATTTGGCTCTCACCAAGGAGATGGCGACCCTGTGCGATGACGACGCTATCATTGTGCTGCTGGACATGCTCAAATGCTACGAACTGGTCAGGCATGATGCCATATTGTTGGAGTGCAGGGCTAATGGATATCCTATGAGAATGGCGTTTATGCTTGTGCAGATGTACCAGCAGCTGCGTTCTGTGTACTCGTATTCGTCTTATTCGGTGGCGCGCAGGGCATGTCAGGGCATCCTGGCAGGATGCACCCACGCCACAACGCTACTGATGGTGCTGCTGACTCGCAGCATTCGCCAGACGATGACGGTCGCTCCTCAGGTTCAGCCCAAGGACTTGGTGGATGACGTCGCGCTGTGTTGGGTCGGCAACGACCCGAGCGGGGTGCGGGAAATGGCCATTGCCACTCGTGCGTTCTGCAGGGCTGTTAGGCCCCTCGGGCTGGTACTGCAGATGGATAAGTCTGGGCACCTCACGACGTCCAGGCGCACCAGCTACCACTTCCAGAAGTACGCTAGGCTGCTGAAGATCTCTGGCAAGAGGCACATGCGGTATCTTGGGCACGATTTAGCTGGGTCGTCGGCCACCAGGGCCGTGCAGAAGGGGCGGCTGAAGTCCATGCACGGCAAGAAGGCCAGCGTTCGCGCCTTGCAGAAGGGAGCAGGACGACAGCGAGCGGCTCGGCTTTGGGCCACGGGTGTGTTGCCATCCGTGGGGCACGGAGCCACGGTCAGCGGCATCAGCGACAGGGAGCTGCAGCAGATCAGGAGCATGGCTGGCGTCTTCTGCGGCTACAAGGGGTCGGGCTCCCTGACGCTGTACCTGGCCGCGCAGAAGTGGAACTTTGACCCCATCTTCCACGCTACCTGCAGCATCGTGGGGCAGTACGCGGCGTGGGTGTGGGATGGGCGT